TCAGCCGTATAAAAAAAATTACAATGAACAAAAATTATAAATAGTTGCCGCTTAGATAATTATGGCTCCACTTGACAGCTTTCATATGTAGTAGTCCACTGCTGTTTTCTTCTTAACATCATTAAATCATCTCTCCCACAGTAGCGCTCCCAAGCGTTGCTCCACCTCCAGGTTTGTCGCTCCCTATTCCATTTTTCTCCTCTATACCCCACGTATAATTGAATAATTAATGCAGGCAATGTGTATGGAGTACGACCACATGCTCAGGCACATACACACAAACACCGTGCTCCATATTTTCAGTACTCTGTATCCATAAGAGGAGCCAGTCATTAAAGCGTCGAGTGTTTGGCTTCTGCTATAAAACTCTGGGAAGTTAATTACCTGGAAACAAAATAAGTCATTGCTCCCAAAAGGATTAGAATGTATTAGATAGCATTGCAACAGATCACATTACGAGCTACAGTGTGTGTGTGTGTGACATGTGATGGCTCTTTAAGTACTTCGAATGAGATCTCAGCAAATACCACAATTTTATAAATATACCACATATTAGTGCATAGACGAATCATTACGGGCTGACAAAACTGTGACAGATCTTTGTTGTGCTCTCTTCGATCATTCAGGATTAACAAGGAGCCCAGTGTTGAGTTAATCTATCATTAGTCGCTGCATTTTGCTTCATAAAAAAGCAACGATGGGATAAATGCTATTTCATTCTACTGGAAATTTTAGAAAGTAAAAATCTAAAATTTAGCATCCAATTAAGCTATGGACATTTTATGAGGAACTTCTATTTTTGGCTTGTACATATATTTGACTAGGTTGTCTGTCTCAATCCTAGCCAGCCAACAATCTACTTAATTCCTAAGGTTATATAAGCCGTCGGGCCAGGTGCATCTTAACTCTCTGAGAGCTGGTGCTCATCAGAAATTCTCATTAGTTTGGGTAATTGCATGATTATTAACTCTGTATTAATTACCCAAGTTCCGGGCAAGCGTAACTCGTTTTGGAGCTATGATGATAAGCACGTCTATGCGAGCAAGCTGTCGTTGCCGATTCGCGCTCCTCATAGCCAAGGAAGACTTCAGGTCCCGTCCTTTGAGAGTATGAACACTTCGATGAGTGAGTGAGTGAGTGAGTGCCCGCAGGCGGCATGGGACAGGAGCTTTCTTCTTGCCAGTACCTTGGCCTCGAGCACGGCCTGCTACTGTTAGGCAGCGAAGATATCATTTGAAGTCGCGCTATAGGGAATCTACTTGGGCCATTCTCTTTTCCGATCCATCCAAATTATCCAGCCTACGACTGCTTGCATGCAAACATCGTGAAGTGAATATGTGGACATCTTCTTGTTTTCATAAATGTTGAGGCCGGAGATGTGTTGGTCGACTTGTTGAACATTCAGTGCGCAAATTTCCAACACTCGCTTTGCGGGGCTTTCAACAAATGGAAAGGTCGTCGGGCCCTATGGTGTCCTCGTGGCCGAGGGAGGTTCCGGGACTAAGATTAGTTCCTCTAGCACCAAGTATCGGAAGAAGCTAAGGGATACATCCCAGAGCAGAAACCTTTCCTAGTGATGAAGTTAGAACATGCACTATGATCAAGCTTTCTTTCGTCTCTATTTTCCCACACTTCACACGCCAACGACACGTTTGCTGTTGCCGTCCTCCTGCCTTGACCGTCATCCTACTCATCAGATGGCATTGGAAAAACTTTAAATTGCCAGAGACACGCTTGGCTTGCGCGAACTCACTTTCTCCTTCCCACCAAATGTAGCGTTTCGTTACCCTCATGACTGGCATACGTTGCCTACGAGCATCGTTACTTTTGCGATTATAAGGCTCACGATCGTCAACAATTTCCGGCGGTGCTCTCTGTGGCAGTGAAAATGATCTAATTGACGATGATTCTTAAGGGAGATCCGAGACGACAGGATTTAGTGATATAATATTGTTAGCTTAATTCTCTTGGCTATTTACGTGATACGTTTGATGTTGGTGGCAATTCAGTATCTAGTATTTGATCATTAATAATAATCAGGGATCAGCTGACTCCTCGAACAGTTCGTATAGCTTTTCGAGTCGACGGTTTATGATACGCATAAATGCAACGATAGCACAGGAAACTACTTGTTCGTAGTTATACGAAGCTGAGACAATGACAAGATAGGCAACGAGGTATGGAGAGCGCGGTTTAATTTAGCCAGAGGTGAAAGCAAAACATCCAACATGGCTTCCCGAAGCCAACCAGAGATTGAAAAATACGAACGCCGAGTAAATTGCCAAAGAATTTTTAGACGATCGTCTGCTTGTGTGGTACGTTCATCAAGCACTAAAGAAAGAACTACCCTGTGTGAGAATGATGATCTTTCCACTTTTTCATAGTTTCGTTTGGGGTGCCAAGATGATTTGCAAAATAAACATATCGATAGATAGTCTCATCGCGTTGGTGTCGCAGCGTTCCACGCCTTTATCGCGTGCTGACGTTTGACCGTTCATCGAATTGCTTAGGCTGGCGTGTGGATCACGTACTTAAGGTCGCGATTCTGCCCCGCTGCTTTTTGCACAGCGGCAAATGATAAATAACTGGTCAGATACATATAGACTGTGTAGACCAATGTCGCTTTATATGCTCTAGCCCTTTGATTTGACCAATTGCCCTCTGGCTTGTGGCAGAATGGTTGACTAACTAATTAATGTAACGTTGAAGGGCGTCAGTTGCATGATCAACGGCAAACCCATTCGTTGGTAACGTAAAATTAATCTAATATTTTTCAACATCCTGGCTAGCTAAACACAGCAGAATGAATAGTAAATTTTGGTGTGATAAGAATGCGGTCTCATGCTAGAAAACATAAGTTATGCTAAACCTATGTATAGACTAGATCAACAAAGTACTGATGAGACGCCCGAACTTCTGCGACTAAACTGCGCTATTACTTCATCACGATATTCATCCGGCTGTCTATAATCTACAAATTAGACTTCCCAGCACCGCGTGTTTTATACAGAAGGGCGATTTGAACGACAGATGACTTGGAAGCAGAAGGTTCAGGAAGAATTGAACGAAGGGCTTGGATTTTAAGCAGGTGCAGACCTGCAGGCAACTGCTTCAGAATGGAATTGAATGAGGAGCCAATTTGTTCCGGTGCACCACTGGAGACGACAAGTTGGTGTAACGCACAGGCAAAACTACTGTTGTCTATTCAAAAGTAAGGCTACACAGAAAAGATTTACAAGATGTATTTGGTAGTGTTGCTCCAGCTTGTACGTCGCTACTTGTATTTGTCGCACGGTTTTTGCAGGAGGGCTTAGCGCCTATACCTCGATGCTTTAACATTTTTTATTCATCAGATCTAGTCTTTTATGACTATTCGTTGTTCTCGAGGCAATCCGAAAAGGACAAACATTGAAACGAGTCCGGAAATCCTACGAGCGCACGATTCAGGTTTACTCTGTACTGAAATGTAGGTTCGAAAATCGTACTAACTACTGGAAATCCGGCAGGGATTAGTTCGAAAGGACTGATTGTTGTTCGGACCGTTGAGGTATGTGCAGTTAGTGTAGGACCATATTCCAAATACTCTATGCATATCACATTGTAGGGAAACCTCGTTTTGCCATATGGATTAGCAATGTTTATTTATCCTTCGCCATCACGTTAACTGCCTGTCGCTGTACGAATGGTGGCTATACAAAGAACGTACGACACTTCTTTTCTAGATGTATTCTTCTAGATTTTTAGATGCAGCATACCGAAATCAAATGTCCTGCCGCTTCTATATAATTTGCAGAAGGGATAACCTTTGAAGGCTGCCTGATTGATGTCCAGTCGCCCGGTCCGAATGTTCTTTTAGTTCAGAGTGACTAAGCTACCCCCCGTCAAGCTTGCTACAGATTCCCTTTCGGTGTCTCTTTTATAACAGCGAGCTTCACTTCACTTCACTTCACTTCACAGAATCTGCAGTATACTAGCAAACGATTTATGAGGTTGCTGCCTTTCGCGTAGTTTTCATAGGAAATCCGAATTTTTTTCCAAGGCAAATTGAACTGGTGGATTGGCAGTAGTTAAAAATCAAGAGAACATTTATTGAAACAGCTTCTATTGATACTGTTGATTCTAGTTGGTATCGTAAAATACCGCTATTTTGCAATCAAGGTAGCAATATACGAGACTTCTATAGTTGATGCGCTTATCTTCAAATTGGCAAAACAAGTACCTTGTCGTTCTACGCGTCGACCGTATCATGGATCGGTGTAGTGAACATTTCATGACTATTGTGAATTCCTGAAATGTTCGTTCCTGTAAAAAAAACGAAAAGAAGTACATAAGGGTTTTGTTCGATTCAGCGTAAAAGAAAGAAAAACTATCTGTAAAGGCCAATTAGCAATCCAAAATGCTCACTTAGGTAGCCACGAAACATGGCCTCTATTTTCAAAGGCAGATATTTGCGAGAAATATCGTTTGTGGATTTGTTGCAAAAAATAAATAGTTGTAAAAGCTTAGATATGATAGTTTTAAGGAGGCACTTGGGAATAGACACGGCTCTATAGATTTGATTGTATTCCTTAGTCTTTACCACAGTTGCTCTTGTGGCACGCTTCACCCTATAGAAACCATGGTGAAACTTTGCGAAGTAATCATTAACCTGCACGGTAGTATTTCTAGCTGGTGGATGATTGCTCGAGCTGAGATTTGCCGCTCGATTTCAGGCATAAGCACATTTATGTATGACAGCTAGGCAAACTTTAGCTCGCATTTTGTCTATACATGGTTGTCTGGGTCTTCCTTCCATTATATCCTGGCCTCTAATAAAAGTGGGTCCAAAAAACTGTGCAGATACTTTCTCTGTAACGCGAAGTTGAATCGACTGCAGCGCTAGCTAGAACTGCAGAATTTCTATTGATGAGAACTTAGGAAAAAGGTCGTGTAATTAAAACGCATATGATGAATAAGTATACCCAGCAATATCTTGTTCTTTTCTACGGTACTTTTTTCAGCACGACGAACGCCGAGTTGCGCAGATGGATACAGCGCGTTTGTATCTAGAACGTTCGACTACGATGCTTCTGCAGGCAGCGAAGACGTGTCTACGGCATCCGGACTGCGAGTGGGCAAGGGAGAACCGAGACACGGTCTTGTTACAAGTAAGTGGCTAGTAGTAACGGCTGAGACAAACAAGTCCATATAGAACTACATTGGTAGACATTGTACTTTGAATAATTTTACCGTCTCCCAATTTCACAGGTCCATTCGTACCTGCCCCAAAAAAAGAAGTGGCCAATCAACATTCGTGTTACGTGCCCACGTATATGTATCCCTACCACTGATGTCGCTACTAGTACTTCTGATTTTGTGCTCACCATTAAGTAAGTGCCGGCAGCAGACAGACGGGTTCCTCAGCGAACTGCCACTAGTTCATTTTAATCGCAGTGGAGCATCTACTCAGTATATAGGAATATGAAGAATTTAATCGTTTTAAGAGCATTCCTTTTTGACGTTTGGTTCTCCTATTTGTAGTATCGTTCGCTGCTTTACGTGGCTAGGCCAGGCCGTTTGATAAGACCATTGCAATAGCCAATCCTGTTAACTTCCACCCATTTTCCGTTAACGCTTCTAGTCTGCTTGGCTAGCGTCGACGATGAGTATCTTCAGGGTTTCCGTTGATCTGGCCAGGTCGGATCGGGCCTGGCCTCTACTCTTTGTACTACCATCTATATAGGCATGCTGACGGCACGACAAGGTACAACAACCCATAATGCACCATACTGTATGATCTACAGCCACAAGTGCATTAATTGGTCACAATCTTAGTCTAAACGCCATAGCCTATACCCCTTTCATGTTTCGAGATTTACGTCCACTATCGCATTCCATCAGACGGCTGGCTTCCAGCACGAAGGGAACTTCGGCTATGCCCGGGTTCGAACCTAGGCCACAACATGTCCTTAAGATTAGCACGTAAATACGTCACCCACTAGGCCACTGTGAAGACCTATACTCCAACATTGCTCTACTAAACCCTACAAGCGCTGTCAGTACAGCTGCATTTTGATTCCATATACCGCCAGTAAGGCTGTCATCTCGAGTCCTGTTCTTGGAAAAGGTTGCCAGGTTAAATCGTCTTATTGCGAGCAAAAGCAGGCTCTGATCTCTATCTTTTCTTATTCGATTTTCTGTGAGGACAGCAGACTTCACTTCTTGTCCCCTGACTCGGTCCACCCTTCACCGCAGCCCCTTTTCCTGTGTCGCTAGACCAACAACAGGCAAAGGGCGTCTGCTTCCTTCTTACTATTAGCCGATACTCACCAATCACACAACCAAAAGACGGGTTATTAAGAATAAGGCGAACTTAACCGTAGATAGATACCATTATAGAGGGAGGGAAGGAAGGAAAAAAGGAAAGCTCGGCCTCCTATCACATTGCCAGAATGTCACATAGCAGGTCTCAGGCCAACGAAACGTCCTAAATATGATACGTCTGCTTTGACTGGCCAGCTCGAAGATTAAGTTGCAGCTAGCCTCGTGATTCACTGAAACACTAGTGTTTCTGGCATTCGTTCGTTTGTTCACGAGTGGTACTGCGACACCTCACGTCGGATTGGGAGGTTGATTCAAATACTGAAGGAAGGAATTCACAAAAGGTCAACACAAATGTGTTTATCTAGAATTTATGATATTGACGCTGTCTAACACTGACAATTAGTAGCTAACATAGTTCTTACTTAGATTACGCATAACGGCCGGTTAATCTCTAGTAGATGAACGTTGGTTGTAATTAATGAAGTCAACGGCATCCGAAATGAACACGCGTTTGAAATGGCTTCTGCAAAAAAACGCTTTTCCTTATACAGCTTTTTTCTGTTCTTTGGCTTCGAGCATCGTTTGTGGTAGTTAGTGTAAGTTAAAGCTTAACTCGATGCTTTATCGTAGGTAGAGTAAATGATTATATCATGGCTTCAGTCTCCCGGTCAGGCAGCATCATTCTATTTAGGGAGTACTATCGAAAGGATCAACTAGTTGAACGATCAAGCGAATCGTTTGATTCGTTCATCTCATTAATTGCAATCAGAAAATCATTATAGCGTAAGCAGAGGAGCGCCCGCTGGAGTACCAGAGCTGGCGGAATGGATGAATCGAATCTCTGCTCATCGGGATTTTAGTGACATTAAAACGTGACTTCCTTGGCAGAACGTGTCTCGCCTGTTCAACTGATAAACCCTTATCGGTGGCAGTTATTATACGTAGTTTGTATGCACAGTGCTGTCGGTAGTTCGCGTGACGCTTTGTCTACGTCTACATCGATCGTGCTTGCGAGTTTTGCGTTCTCTCCTAAGCTTAAGGGTTTCATTCGTCCAACATGATTGACGTATGAATCTGTTGCTAGAAATTCCAGCAATTCGGCCAGCAAGACCGGCAGTGCAGACAGGATTACGGTGTACTGCACAATACATCAAAGGTTAGATTTGTATCTCGCTAGAAGCCAATAACAAGATCAGATTGCTGGTGGTAGATGAAGCGATAGCATCGATTCGTTCAGTCGCCGCCATTCATGGGCTTGCTTGCCGACTTGTTCGTCGGTGGTTTCCTGCCACCAAATCCTTGCAATTGGACAATTTCTCGAACACCCATGGGTGGGCTGACCCTTGTGATTGGACGTCGCATCCATTCCCGGTAGGGAAGCAATAATCGACGGTGGTCGAACGTTGGTGACGACGCAGAAGGAGAATATACCCTTCCCTCGTACGATTTCTCTTCTCAAGGAGATCTTTGATACCGCACCCAAACCTCCCTTCAGGACAGTTCTTAGCCTGTTCGGCAGGCCGCTTTCGTACTTCGGACGGATCGGCCTATGTTCCATATATCCCCCTTTATAGACTTACTTGGACAAGATTGCTGAGTGACCTTGTTCATTTCAGCTCCAAGCTATCTTCTCCCTTTTCTTCTTCGACGTGGTCATTACTTACGCGATAGCTATCTACGGAGATGGAGGATGCCCACCAAATATACCCACTGCTCATACTACTACGGGGAGAGTCATTTCTCCGTGCCATCCGGCTATCACTGGGGCCTAAAGCGTCCGTCCTTCATGAGTGAATGCCACCAGCCGTCCGAAGGAGAGCACCTTACTACTACGACAAACGCCTTGTTCTTGCTGCAGATTAGCGACGATGCTGATAAAGAACCGCATCGCTTGCCGCCTTAACACATACGCAAACAAACACCTAACAAATACTCGTATTATACATACACACACACACACACACACACACACACACACAATGTATATCAATATAGCTACGGCGAAATCGCTTTTGCTGTTTTGCTCTCGAGCTAATATTAAATATCTTATCGATCGTCCTGACTTAAGCGAACTGTGGCGACAGCAGTATCGTACACAGAATCTTCAGACAGATCGAGCAAATTAGGAAGAAGGATAAGAAAGGTGTGTCCGACCTGAGACAACGTGTGGACTAACGGCAATTCAATAGAATGACTGTACCAGCGAACACCAGACGACTGAAAAGGAACGTTGTTAGTAGCCGCAGCTGAATCGTAACATGTACTTATCGTACTATGGGCACGTAGCAGTAGCAGCATAATGCCAGTCGAGTGCGTGATCAGAAACTAAGCTCCCCGACTTGATCCCTTACAGATTGCCTTCAAGAGAACTGCAGGGCAACGGCCCACTAATGAGCGATGTACATGCATAGATCATATAGACTAGCTTATATATGCTGAGTTGTCGAAGACTGATTGGAGGTGTGGTCGGAAGTGCCCATGGTTACCGAGCCATTGCCGAACCGAAATGAGCAGGAAGACCTTAGCAAAGAGATCTACTATTGTTTTTATTGGGGCGGTCGGCGGAACAGCAGTATTCTCAAATATAGCGGCGGCAGGGATACGATCAAATGCTGCGTCCGTATTGACCTTTCGCAGAACGCTCGTTTGGCTCGTTTGTTGCAATCGACGCCGCGTGCGGCAAACCGCCGGCCACCAATCATTGCCATCAAGCCAGATCGTAAATCGCACAGACGAACCACAGCAGACCTGCTGGCGGATAGAAAGCGAAAAAAACGCACCAATGAGACGATAAATGAATAGGACGAAGGAAAACAACAATAACGGACGAAGGCTGGTTTGTTGATGCGGCTTTGAACCAACAACTGCTAACACTGTCTATAAGGTTCCCGAAGTTATCTAACCGTGAAACTAGTTAACGCTTGAACAAGAAACAAGCACTTATATGATGTATCTAGGCTTAACTAATGAAGGCATCAGCCTCACGTTCATTTGCACATGGAACTAAGAATGGCAATACTATAGACAGATGTGCAATATCTAATGATAAAGTTTACCTCTAGCGTGTATCACTTCGTGTTCTATTGCCGTGATATGCGTCCTTCTTGCAGATCCGACGAGCTATTGATCTTGTGCACTTTGTAATCAAAGACGGCGTGCTACCTGAACTGTCAACGGCGCGGCGGAGTGGCAGTGCAAGATCGCGGCCAAGGAAATCTTCTAATTCTGCTTCGAATTGGCGGATGGAGGAATTCGACAAATGCTCAACTACCCATAACGCACTTAAAAAGTTCCACGTAAGTGGCGTGCGTACTAATAATCGTCCTATACTATTACGTTGTAGTTAGTGCTAGGTACGATTGCAGACGTACGCACAGGAAGGGTACTTTGGACCGGAGCAACTTATTCTAAGGGGATTTATTTTTGTCCGCGATTTGCATGCTACCACAGCAAGTGCTAATGCTAGGGAATATATCTAAACTCATAGGGTGAACAACATAATAATTACATTTATTCGTTACAATATAAGATTTGTTGAGGTTATTTTACGTGGTACCCAGGTCGAGTGCCAGCCCGTCTGTCTTTTAAATGTCTGTGACAGCTTATGCAGTACATTTACGTACAACTGAGGTCCTATTAGATAAACAAGCAATTTATAAACGTCAGAGCAACGTCCCTTTTTGACGAGGCTCTAAATTAGTAACATGTAAATAAGTGAAGGCAGACGTGCAATTTCTGCGAATGTTGGGCACTAGCAGGACTTGAATATCCGAGCTGAAATAGGGCATAGATGCCTGTAACCGCCCCACATGGTTCCATATTGTTGTTCATGCATGATACGTTTATATATTGTTCTATGGCTCAAGGCGTTTGGTGCCAAAGGCTTAAGTACTGTACATATAATTATATGGAAATTGATTTCGTGCAGCCTTTCTTATTCATCGTTTGAAATTTCCTTTTAAATTTTAGTAACAGGTTTGCTGAAGCATCGGATGAGTTTTCACTAAACAATATCCACGGTGTTTACCGGCAGACATAAGTCTAAGATTGCACAAATCTTATTTCAGCTATGAGCAGACTTTTAATGGTCCAATAAGGTTAAATGCCAATCACTATTTTGACAATAATGCTCCATCGCACACAAAATCTACCTATATGTATCCACATAGTTCGGGAGGAATTGTGGAAGTAGCTCAAGAGAAATTTTTGTAGATGTATTTATCAAAAAATAGAGATCTTTACGGATATGGCGCGACGATTTAGTACTGTATATTCGAAAACTAGGTTTCTATTCGATACAATCCAAACGATAAAAAGCAGACCTTTTCACCTATGGCCAACTTCCAGGGGCTACTAAACATGAATAAGCTGGTCCTAATGGGCCCGCTATGTAGGGCGCGTTTGTCCAGAATGCTGGACGCCGTCATCGAGCGGACCCAGGACTTCACCGATTCTGCATACACGACGCACGAGCACCGCGAGAAGATTCTCCTGCAGTGCGATAGGCTCAAGCTAGAAATCAACCAACTTCTTCGGGTCGCCGTCTCACTGGTAAGCCTTAACTACTCTATATGACAACCGGCAACCTTTTCGCCCATCGTTTTAATTGTCTCTGACCAGGCAGCACAAGATAGAATCTCCCTTTCCGCCAGTACACTATTCTCATCGTTTTTTGTTCATTATTGCTTTTCATTGTTCGCGCCGCTGGCTAAATCATATGGATGCATGTTATTACAAGCCATTCCATTTTCGTACCCCTTTTACATTGCCGAATCTGCTCCCTTCAGCCAGCTACCCCTTTTCCCCAAGTTTCGCTTCTCCACTCTCTCGACTACTACGGGGATTCGCTGAGAAGCACACACACACACACAGTATAACACACTTTAATTCGAATATCACACATTCGCGTAGCTCGTCGTGTTGATGTAGAAACACTTTGAGCCGTTGGTGTTTGTTGTTGTTTAAACATTCCTTTTCCCCCTCTGATCTTGATCGTGTCGAGCGGACGCAGTCGCCGGCGATCCGTACGACAGACAGCCCCTCATATGCTCCTCTATCCAACTCGCTAGGCAATGAAGCGACATGCCTAGACGTCAGATGAAGACGTTCGTCGTATATAACAATACGCACTAGACATTCGCTAGGAACTCTATATTAAGTGCCGGAGGCCTTAGCAGGCATCCTTTGTTTGAATGAGTATACGTTAACGACTAGTTTTCCAGGTAACGACTAGCGGCCCAGGGCCGCGACCCATCCGAAAGGCCCTAGCACCACTATGACTCGGCCTTATTCCCGCCATCGTTGCAACTGGCCTATGACTAGTTGTAGCGTGTATTCCCTCATATAAGTCATATTTCAATCTTCCGTACAGCTGGCTTGCACCTAACAGTTGCCTAGTAGCATTAAACATAGATGCAGAGTTGCAAGACGTGCTCCGCTCCGCTGTATACTTTGATGGCGCTGTTGCTCGTGAGTAAGCTCGTGAGCTTAGTACGGTGCGATAGAGACGATACCGATAGAGTCAATAACGACGACAAGTAGGGAGAATTGTTTACATATGTTTTACGACATTATATGCACTACCACGTCCAGAATTGTTGCTGATGTTCATTTTAGCCACTTTCCTCCTCTAGATAGCAATTATATAGCTTTCTGCTGTCTCCACCCTACAGTGGCCAAGCCTCTTCGGGCTGCTGCTGTCGGCATGGGAGGACTATGCAACCAGATCACGTTTGTCATTATTCAGTGTATGAGCCTTAGAAAGAGATCGATTTATCGATCGGCGGCAATACCGTCAACAACAAACATAGCGCCGGTCAATTCTGACACTAATCGGCAGGAAGCAGGACGGCCCTTTTCTTTCGACAGGGGCGGTCGCGACGGCATGATTTGGCCACCGTAAGTCTCCAGTACCGTCCCTAACTAAATACTCACCGGTCTACAAGCACAGGCACGCACAAACGGGGCTTTCGTGTAGCGTCCTTTGTATTTGTCATGACACTGCAGGTGACGAGGACCCTCGACAGTAACAGCTGCAGTGGGCGATTTCAACATCATAGAGGTCTGATCTATAGTGGAACTGTAGCCGAGTGTGTAACGAGCGAGTGAGGAAAAATGCCAGAAGAATCTAGTGCGACTAACCGTAGGTACGGGCTGAAGCAAACCGTCGCACTGGCGAACGGCAGACTGACCCTGTATCAACGATAGGTGTAAATGGCGTAAATCAAGTGATCAAAAACTTTCGAACGAGCAGCTACGGAGGAAGTAGCTGTGTACAGCCAACACTTTCAAGTATATTTTATATACTTTTTTATGCTAGCAGAACATTTGTAGTACTTTCCTACCGGAAACTAGTCATGGGTAACAATAAAATAGGTTTCGAATTTTTCAAGTTTCCGCTCAAACTTAAACTTTGCAGAAAAGTTTAAATTCGAGCATCTTTTTCAAAAATAATATGTTAGCGTTTAGTACCGTTGTGTGCATGGGACGTCTTTCGAGAAAGCAAATGGTTTGTCAGTACAGAAGATACATCGATAGGCAACGGAATAGATTACCCTGGTATTCGATCGCTCGCTCGCTCGCTTCGTAAATTGCTGCTAAGCCTGATCCGTGCCTGAATCTGCCATTTCCGTCTACAATTTTTATTCGTTATTTAGTCCTCTTTCGGGAACGCGGTATCGTTGCTTAGCTCACCAAATCAAAAAGAAATGAGAGATCTGTTGCCAATTTATTAATGGCTAGTTATTTATTTAATACTTTTAGTTATATGAGTCTTATGAAAAGGTCCTCCGGGATTATTCTTATGTGCAACGTTAAGGGCGTGCCCTTCTAACTGAGACAAACTGGACTTATCGTAGTTTTTCCAACAGATTTATGACAATTTTGTTAACCTAAGTTATAACACGTTATTTATCTTGGTCATGTTTTTTTCTTTTTTCCTGCTTATAAATATTTGATGATAATTTTTATCAATGCTTATTAGCGCTGAAAAAGGTGCGCATCAGCCACCCAGATCACGCCACCCTATAGACCTGAACATTTACACACCTATTTAAGCAATACTAAATGATCAGTCGGCAAACGAACGTATGTACACCATCTCTATATAGACTTCACGAGCCTACACCAGTATGGATCAGTTTTTAACAAATCAGATGACGACCATCATCTATGCAGGCTCTAATTAGTTTGTACTATTGAAAATGCACTAACTTCAGTTAGGGTGATCGAGCCTACGTTATCTATTGCCGATAAACGGGAGCTGTGTACTAACTGAAAGCTACTAATGTTATTCTAAGTTAGATGATCGGTAACAAGCCTAACGGGATAGCGGGAAACATTTTATTATAGGGCTGTTCACATCTACCGCGCAAACTGGTATGATTGGCGGTATCTCGGATAGAACTAACTATTAGAAAATGCAAATAAATTCAAGTGATCATCGGATTTTTAATAACTGAACAAATGAAATGTTCAAATGGTAAGTATAGTGTTTTAGGTCGAAAAAACCTAGGCAGATTTTTCCATGTAATTTTTGAGTTACTCTATTGAAGCTGGGTAAGACGCTGGTCTCACCACGTTAACATTTCAGTTCGACTCTGAGCTGAGACCTAAAATGTTTTCTTTCAAGCAACGTTTTTTTTAGCTCACTGCACAGTTAGCTTGGATTAACACCTTCCACCCCCTGGTGATAGATAAATTTAGTCTCTATTAAACCACAGAGAGTATTGCCAAACATTGTAAGACACCAGTGCTCGAAGTTGCTAGTAATTGCCAGTAAATAGGAATTCATAATGGTTATAAAGATAATATCGAATATAGACATCCATTATATGCCGCTATCTGAACTCTATCGAAGCGTTATGGAGTCTAAATTAATCAATTATTGAAACAATTACCCTGAGCTCGGAACTTAATAAAGTTCCGAGCTCACGGTAATTGTTTCAATGTGCTGTTAGCCCATTGATGAGTTCGAGACAATTGGTCTCTGTCGTTTGGAAAGGGCGGGAGAAAAATGCCCCGGATAGCGTAACTGTGCCAGTCGTGCCGGTTGCCCATGGATTTCGAAAAAATTCTGTCTGCTCATCACACTTAAGATAGCAAAGCTTGATCAGGTTTCATCGGCCAGTATTGCGGAGTTGATACCGTATCGACCCCTTTGTTCATATTAGCTCGAAAGTTCCGGTTCAGCCAATATGACCTTATCGAGCCAGTGTGGCAAAGCTAGAGGGAACTTTGCTAACTTCCGGAAAATACCATAGAGAGGGAATTGGTCGTGGTCTGGCCACCTAGAAATGCTAGGCTTTGTCAATGGTTTTTGGCAATCAATACGTACAGGTCGCCACGCCACGGGGCAAATGCGAGCGTCAGATCAATGCAACGCAAATCTGCATCGAAGGAGCAGGACGCAATCGGTGATCCCGTTTTTTTGACGTTTTAGAACTCGATTTTCGAGCTGCTACTGCAGTGATGCGGCTGGTCAAACGACAAGCCAGCCAGCCGCTATGAGGGTGCCTCACTGAGCAAGAAGATGGCAATATTCGATAATTTACAGCGGACATAAGTCAACAGAAAAACGGAAAAGAAGAATAATAAGTAGCGGTCTAGCAAACTTTCGCTTTTTGCTGTTGTACGTTTCGTTTTACCAAAGGATACTCTCAATCTACTGCCTACAGTTTCAACGTCACTAAGGTTGATTTAGACGGCTAACGCCGCATTTTTTTAGCCGTATATTTATAAGATGTTGGGCTATTGTTGTAGTTTATCCCTTTATCGAATGTGTTTCAGGAGCAGAAAGGCGATCTACCTCATCAGACGAGCGAGGACCTAGAGACCACTGTTCGACAAACGGCGCAAGCTTCCAATGACCTGTGGATTCAACTGCAGGAGACGGCGCTTTGCCACACCGATGAACTATTTCGCACACTTGACGAGGGTGAACTATTGCAGACGCTCAAAAACGCTGCAGTCACAGGCGAGCTCTCTACAATGGAGCAATGCGCCGATCGCTTCGCAGAACATGCAGATCACGTTCAAGAGGTAAACGATGATGGGATCAAGGCGAAACGAAAATATATATAACATCCACTTACTACATATACATGGTGCTTTCAAAGCGGTAGGTAATCCTTAGCGTAATAGTACCTACTGCCTATGCATCTAACGTTGCTTGGATTAGCAAAAATCAACAAGACCAACGAATTGAGTGGCAATTGCTGTCCTGCATCGTTTTGGGAGAGAAACATATCGTCGAACTCCAAGTGCGAAAGCTATCGAGACCGACTCTCATTTAAACAACATTTTTTGTTTCATCATGAAATTTCACATCTGTATGTACACAGAAAGGGAACCGCACATGTGTCCCATTACTACTCGGTTCCGAAATAGCAACTCAGATGCTTATAGTTGTCCTTGGAAAACAGGCTAACAATATTTTTCGATCTCCTTTCTTACCACCATTACCAATTGGACAGGTGTGTCGATTGCTATACCATATCGCGACAACGGAACGCCTCCAGGTGCAGGCGAAACAAACAGACGCGTGTCTGCGGGCAGTCTCGCAGCACGTTCTATCCGCGTGCCATACGCTGTGTTCTCATCCGAGCAGCAGCACGGCTAGGGACAACGTCGATGTGTTTATGGACATCTGGCGGTCCCTTGTGGATGATTTAGCTTCGATGAACCGCGAGTGTTCAGCGCTCGCCATCAAGTCGATAGCCGACAGCGAACGAGAAAAGGAACAGCTGGTCAGCAGCATGCAGCAGCAGCAGCAGCAGCAGCAGCAGCAGCAGCAGCAGCAGCAGCAACAGCAACAACAACAACAACAACAGCAGCAGCACGCCATGTATATGTCGCCCCTGCCGCCAGCGAGGGTAGGTTATTATATATGCAAAAGCAACAATAATGAGAGCAAGAAGGTCAAATTGGGGTTACTCCTGTGATACCCATTCAGCTCAGCAGATTGCATAGCTAGTCAACTTGGAATTTAACGGAGAACCAATAGTATAGATTTCGTTATCGGCATTGTTTGCAAACGGGATAATTCCTGTTTGTTAACTATTCGAACGGCGACTGCGAGTGCCTACATTTTGCTTTAGCTGGTTGGAATTTCTAGCTCATTGGGCGGACGTAAAATGGGTCTCGAAGTGTTACTCAACGGGTCCAAGTCGATCAATACTGGACATCTAAGCCGTTCGGTATCGTTTGGGTAAAAAAAATAGCTACGCAGCTTACATCTAGCAAGTACCTATCACTCTCTACAAAAAACAGTCTCGAAATTTCTAAGATCGTTAACCCCTAAGTCCCGAGTTTTGCGTTCGGTATCAGCATTAGGCATTCCATGCTGGCTCTGAACTCGAAATGAAGTTTGTCTATGCCCGGGTTCGACCTTAGACCACAACATGTTCCTCACATTAGCAGGCAAATACGTTACCCAGCAAGTTATCACGGGGACAAGATTTTTAGCCTAGATATACCGAATTGCCTTATTGGACTCATTTATCTATTCACACCTTTGCTAACATCAGGTTAGTCAGTCATCTACTTAATGTCACACGAATCTACGCAACTATAAAGGGCTAATTTATTAATGTATTCTTTCATCAATTTCAATCAGGGACACATGGCGGGAGGCGGGGCACACGGAGTGCCCATGGGAAGTCATTCTTTGGGCGTGGGGCCTTTACGTGAGCCTCTTCCAGGGGTGGGGCCTCTGGGAGAGCAGGGCCATTCGATGGGCAGTCCGGTACAAGTGATGAGCAACCTCGGTAACATGGCGAATCCCGCCTTAATGAACGGCGACGGCCGCGTAGCTGGCGTAGGAACGTTAGGAGGAGGGGGATCTGGAAGACCGCCCGACTTAGCCCCCGGAACAGCGCGGACCAGCCACGTCGCCCAGATGCCACCGGGGCAGCAGATCAAGCCCCCGCCACCCGCTCCACCTATGTCAGGTAAGTTGAGATTGTAAACAATAAACAACATGTCTGGCATAGGAAGCTATAGGAAAAAAGTTTTGCTATTCATCAGCGCAAGTGTTGATATTGGTATCGGGTCAGAGGATTTACTATTTGTTATTATAACGTACCCATTTCGTTAGTTTGATTTCTTCGTATATATGGTAATCGGATAAAGCACCCAAGATTTTTTGTGTAGTCACGATACGAATAACGCTCGTCGGGTCGAGGTCGCTGCAGCTAGCCTGGGTTCGGTCACACACATAGGCTACACTGATAATCATTACAGAAACTTATTTAATTATTTCGGTCCTTAGGAAGCAACATTTTACGCAATGTATTGCTATGAAAATAGTTAGTAAACTGCCCCGACATGCCATTCTACAATGTAATATACGGACATGTGTTATAAACTCAGTGGATTCTTCCTCAGACGCGTTATCTTATTGCAGATTGCCAGTTATAAGCGGTTCTTGCATGTTTTATTAAGATTTTTAGTAATAGTGAAAGGGGTTTAGTATGCGTTTGTCAGCATGCTATTTGTTCTGACGTAGGAACAATCAATTCCTTGGCAAGCGCTGATAACATTTGCGTTATGTGGCGTGTGTAAATTAGACACAAATAATTGGCTATTTGACTCTCTAGAAGTCCATTGAAGACGTCGTAGAGTTCATACAGCTTTAGTAAAGAACTGACTTTATCATTTTTGACATCTAGTTGCTCTCTTCACAAATAAAGACTACGATCTCCTTTATGATCTTACACACCCAAGTGGGGAAAAATGTGGATTTATCATATAGGATGGGAAAACACTTTTGCCAGTTTAGAAAAACCCTTTTGACAGGTATGTGATGCACAATATAGGCACATATATTGTTTGTATATCTATTTCGCGGATACAAAATGGCTACTCGAAGTATCAAATGACTTTTTTTAAGGTATCAAGAGATGTTTACGTCATCTTGTACACTACAGTAAGGCTGCTCCGTTATCGGAACTATACATCATCGCACGGCATCTGCTTATTTCCGAATGAAAATGAAGCGAGAGAGCACGCAAAGACAGCTTGAGTGATAGGAACTAATAAAGGAGAATAAACCTATTACGAGCTTCTAATTGGCCACTGACTAGACGCCGACACTGCTATAATTATGGCTACTCTTTCCTGCAGGCTCTTCAAAGCCTTCGTTGGTACCCAATCGTACAATATACGCTCACCCTCACATTTTGTCTAGCTCGACTCTAACACTGAGTGGGGTCGTGCGTCAAGCAACGTTGGTTATTGACTGCCACATCATTACTCATAACTGCCTTCACACTCCCATCATAATCGCAGCACACAGGTCTACCCATTGTAACATAATCTTCGGCTGCTCCTCTGCAAGTTCTGCGAAGAAATCGCCTTTTCAAATCTCCTATAACGGACCAACCGTAACAGCAGTCGCCACGTACTAGTCAACTGACCTTTGCCCCTCGTACGAGTTGCGTGTAAAGATGACATCAACTTACGCGATCCGATAATGTAGGCGCCTGTAGTGCGTGCTTCCTTAGCCATAAAAGCACCCCCCGGAACACTGCACATTAGACGGCGCAACGGTAGACCTCATAGGCAGGCCTACGTTTTGTAACCAAATGCATTGTAGGAAACCGAATAAACTAGAAAAACCTGTGAATCGAACAGCTACTTTTAGTGGATTCTGGATCTCTTCCTCTGCACGAACCATTGTATTTATACTGCCGCTATTTATATAAGAGACGTTGCATCAGAGGAATGGAAGTAATCCTGTCATATTAGCTGCTGCAGGCCTTTTACTGGCACTTGTCAGGAAACTACTTCTGAATATCCACTCGTGCTAAATCGCCTATTCTTGTTGAAAATGGCGTCCAAGTATGATGCTCTGCCTAAGACCACTGTGGATTGAAACAGATATTAGTTAAGATCTCACATGCCAGCTATTTCAAGGCTGTTGTTGACCGTTTAACCTGTTTATAATGTCTCTCGATTAGAGAAATGTCCATTTATGCTGTGGAAAAATGTCTACAGGAGCTGCAATCCGATAGTCTTTTATTTGCCAATACCACTGTATGTGCTCCTTCAGTACCGTCACATATATATATATATATATATATATATATGTATAGTTCACACAATATAAATAAACTATCAGTTTTCTTTATAATGCGTATTTTTTAGTGTGGGTTTAGTACGGGGTATCTACGACAAAAATGCTGTGGGCGCGATTTTACTACGATCGACGACGGAAGCTCTTTGTAGCCTCTTCTTCTCATGGGGGAACGTACCTAAAACTTAAGGTTTCATTGGGTTTAAATTGAGCGGCTATAGGAAGAGCATGCGTCGAACCATGTTAAAGGGTTGTTATAGCCGCAACCAGCCATTGAGGGATCAAAACCGCATGATCAACAGACGGAATGCAGCCCGTACAAATTTCGGGAAGGCAATGAGGTCGGTGAGCAACGAGGTTTTCGAACACCACTCGACAAAGGCGATACCATAACCACATCATTAACAAGACGACAGTCGTTTTAACCTGATAACGACCCCGCCGTTGATACGACTTGCCGTGTCATTGTTTTGCCTTATTTTGTTTTGGCTTAGAGCACCCATAACAATACTGCGAACAGCCAGCTGAGCCAGGAAAGTCTTATTGTTGGTAACTTCATTTTAGTCGTTTGGGATCGCAGATGATTTCCTGTTGCATACACACACGCATTTGTCAACACGCGTGATACGTACGCATATCCATATATACGCGGCCAAGGAACAATGTTCGTATAGCTGAATGGCAATTGAACGTGGAGAAAATATAATAATACAACGACATCTTTAGCAAAACTGTTCAAACCTTGGATTATTAAGGTGTTATAATTGTACGTTGCTTGGCTAATGATGCAATTCAGCGACACAGTTTTGCCAATATGCATATCATTGCTAAGTCCTTCGCCTAAATCACACCTCGCTTAAGAATAGGTACTTCTCTCGTTTCCCCTTAAAATTGAAAAAAAAAAATGGCCGTTATTAATTTTTTTTTTGCTTTTTTTTTGGCCGCTTTAGGCTGAGACCTGCTTTTCTCTTATAATGCGAACCGTGCAAAAAAAGAGATTGGTCCGTGAAGCCGTGTTGTCAAATCAACAGTTGTTATTATTACACCCAGACTGCAGCGGTGATTGATGATGCTCTGTGTGGATTCGGACTTGAATCCCAAATTTTTAATCCCTATTGTCCATCAGCCTTAGTCATGTCTACCTTGTGTATCACTGAATTGTATCTTAATGGAACAATAACAGATAGGCGACGTACCCTAATCTATATTCGTGCATGCGACGACGACGACGACGACGACTACGAGATGTACAGGGAACGATATAAGCTCTCTAATCTAATGAAACAGTTAAAATCCCTTCAATGTGACCTATTAGAAGTGAAATTTGACATTTATATAGGGCTGGTTAATAGCTAGGTCGCTGCGTTGCGAACATGTCGGATGCTGTGAGCCTAAAATTGATTTTGCAGTACCAACATTCTCTTCGAATGAACTGCCTACGCGATAGCACAAAATTCATTTTTACATTGTTTTAATTTAACTAAGTATAAATAGGAACCGAGCATAAATAGCTCGAATGAAGAGATAGTGTTGACAGTCAGTAATCTTGAGTTAGAAAAAAAAAAACACTCCAGCTTGGTTACTGTCCATGTTAAGTTGATAAACACACACACACATATAATCCTTAGTTAAGTAAAACTTGTCCACACGACTGCTGACAGCTGTCCAGCATATTAAAATTGTTCCAGATGGCTCTAATTCAATTGGCTATTTAGTCAGGTTCTATTATATCGTTATGACAACGCTTTGGTACAGGAAATTCCATTGATTAGTGTGCGTTTTTTTCATGTTTTTACTTCGCCAACATCTACAAGATTTGTCGCACCGAATGTTCCTGATGCGTAAGAAACGACGAGTCTAAAAGCAAAGTCGGCCTTCCCTTTCATAATTTGGTTTGTTTCACAGCCGCATACAGGCCCCAATTAAGCCATTGCCAATATAAACAATAATGTAGTAGGTCGTAACTTATAACTAGTACATAAGAACTACCATTACTGGTTTATTTGCACCATACGGATATTTCTGTCGTTACCCTCACTACCTTTACGAAGACTATAGACCCATGTATGTACGGTGTATAGCATCCTGCATAAGACCCGAATTCTAGCAACCTCTGGGGACTAGGGGAAGTGGAACGCCGACACGACTAATAGAACTTAACATAACACTATAACCAGGGGCTAATTCTGCTATCAATACTACGACTATTAATATATTTTATAGCCTAACACACTCAATACTCGAAGTACACGTACTAATGCCCCTGGACATACTCCAGGAGCACTACTGCTGAGCTTTCAAGCCGCTTTCTTTTGTATGTACGCCCACCACCCTCACAGCCGAAAACTTGGATTGATTTCTTTGTCTTATATATATATATATATATATATATATATATTTTGCTAAAAAAAAGGCAAGGTGGAACATTTTAAGTCAGTAGAAACCGAGATGAACAATGGCTAATTATATAGTCGCTAGCCATGCATTGTGCATAGTTAAATCTAAAAAATTTCTAAGTTATCTAAGAACTATTTAATTTGTCGTCGTAAACTTAAATTACTAGCCAAAACTGTATAAGGAAATATCACATTATGGAATCCTAATGTTTTCCGTGAATTCGGTCTAAAGGAACAGCTATCTTAGCGATTTTTGTTACATGTGATATTCCTGAATATCATGTCGTTTCAATATAACCAGATTCGCTACGATTACCGCTTTTAAACCTCTTACAGGCTCGTTTCAAATGATCTTTTCACAATTTTGCATGTCCTTTCTTAAGATTTTTAGCACGAGTGAGCGAGTTGACGCTGTCGTGTCGGGACTCTCGCTACAAGCTCATCGCAGCCAACCTTGTACTAATCGGCCTACCTGAGTCGATGTACAATTTTGTTGGAGGATGCATGGGCCTTCTTCAAACACTTTAATTACCCCCGATTACACAACAGTTTGTAAAACACACAGATAAACTTCTTTAGTAACATGTTCGCTTTTCTGGAAAAAGTATGGCGGCATAACGTCCTATTTGCTGGATACCGCACTCAGAGCATAAACTTCAATCGAAAATTTGCTTTTTTTAAGAAGCTTATCGTCTGGGTCCTCGAAGGCAGCGATTATTTCTGCAAATAATCTTTGCATCGAAAATAAAAAAAATCTGTTTTCAGCAAAAAAATCGCAGACGATCTCTTGGTTTATTAATTAAAGAATCGAGTAGCAAGTAACATTAATTAAGTTAAAATAACATTAATCAAATCTTCTGGTTTTACTGTCGCCAGAGGGTACCTGTCTGACCTTTATCTGAGACCTTTATTAGCCTTTCATTATATAGCGGCTCACTTTGATCGTATTCCTTTACTAACGCCCTTATCGAAACAAAAGTGTTATTAGAAATGCATTTTTAAGCGACAGCGATAAACTTTTAAATCTGCATTGTTCTATTTTTCACGCGGATTTTTCGTTGTCCTTTGCTAAAACCTGTTTTCGTTCCATCTGCGGTCGCATATTCATTGGCATTGCGGTGCGTTATTGATTTAAAGTGGCCAAAAGATTTATAATATCCGTAGGGATTTCTCTAGCGCATAGTTGATCTTTATTCAAACTGCAAACTTAACTGGCTTTCGTCTGGTATTAAGACTAGCAAATCAGCGCGTGTCTGCTACGGCTAAAATTTATTCCAATATAGACGACATAGTACAGGAGGCTCTTGTTGATTTGCGGATTTTCACTTTATATCTTTTTACTTTAAGAGATCGAAAATAAAGATTATTAAACTGTCAAGTGAGTCTTGTCCTATTCCCTACATATATTAAGGAAGAATACATATATACACACCACAAGTTTCTGTAAAATGAAAAAAGTTGATAAACTGCCGGTTTTTTTCCCTCTTCGTTATAGGTTTAGATGGTGGAGATGTGGGGGGCGGTGAGGCCGGAGTGACGGGAGGCAAGATCTGCGCGGGCAACTTGGACGCGGAGGACAAGTTGGGCGCCGCCGAAAATGACATGGAGGCGACGACGGAGAAGTGGCCACCAAATGAAAATGACATTGTGAAAAGAGCAAAAACCATAGCTGAGATGGCACAGTCGATGTATCTGTTCACCAAGGGAGAGGGCGATCTCAAGACCACTCAGGACCTCTTCACACAAGCAGAGTTCTTCGCTGAGGAAGCGAACAAATCGTACAAAGTAGTGAGGCAGTTCTCATTTCAGGTTTGTGTTTAGGATGGTTATATACATGGAGACGATTGTTATCTGTATCCGGATTAGGTGAAGCAGACGCTTTTCATGATAATTTCCGTATGTTTCGAAAATAACTTTTGAAAAAATTCTGTAAAAAAGAAACCGATTTTTATCAAATTTAATATTAGGCATTGAATTCTGGACGCGCATACGAAAAATAATGGTCGTGTAAACTCAACAGTGTTTTTTTTTTATTTCCACAGCGAGTCAACAAAGAGCAAATTGATGCACCTTCATTATAGACAAAACGGCTTTAAACTTGAATATATCTATATGTCAAGGGAGAGAGAGAGACCTTTGATGGCTTCCATGAGTGACTTCGCATCACTAGCACATGCAATTCCCCTTATCGTTATCCTTCTCTACATCTAATCGCTTTTTTTTTTTGTTATACCTCCTTTCTTCCATATACTCATTCAATAGGTACCTAGCGGGCAGCAGAAAAACGAACTCCTGGAGCTCCTCGATAAGGTGCCGGCCTTCGTCCAGCAGATTCAGTTTACAGTGAAAACACCGACGGTGGGCAAGGCTGCCACCTACACTAAGGTCGACGTGGTTATTCAGCAGACGAAGAGTCTCATGTATGTTATCTCTCGAGTGGTCACCACGTGCCTAGTGTGCGCCACCCGATATAATCTCGATTTCCGTGGTGATGGAGGTGGTAGAGGAGGTCTTTCCGGCAGTGCCGAAGACAACTACGGTTCATCCGACTACAGCTCGGGCTTTGTGGACAGCCTCGGAGGCCGAGGCGGAGGACAGGGGGGACAAGGTCTTGGTGGTGGAGGGTCCGCGGACACGAATATATGACAGTTGGGTATGGGTCCCCGCAATAGGGGGCCCAAGGGGCAGGGAGATGGCCGCCGAACTCGCGTGTCTTTTTTACTCTTTTAGGGTCAAAATCCAAGCGAGACTAGAGTGTTGTACGGACGCTTGGCTTCCTTGAGTCGCTGACGCCGGCCCGCCCTCTATCCTGGCGGTGCATTGGTTGTTTAGCCGCGAAACAAGCGCCACCGCTCGTCCTTTGGTCTTGGCTGCCCCTCGGGACTGCCGCTGCGTCAGTCGAATGCTACTACGATCACTATACTCTACTAATAACGCTACGAATCCTCAATGACACCCTACCATCACGTACTTTACTAGGTACTCGTACCACAACAATCAATTGCAGCGACTACTACTGCGCCTACTTTAACTACCACTTCGGAGAAAAATCTATACATGATTGTGCTATTACCCAGTTTGTGGGGTACACTGAGTAGGTGACTAATGCTCACGTATAAACGTCACTTAAGTATGTGTGTGAGTGTGTGTGTGTGAGTGCGTGCGTGTGTGTATATATATATAAACACAGTCGACCATGATGTTTATCTACCTACATCAGCGTATAAACTTATGTCTGTTGTGTACGCCAGTATTATGTATGCATGTCAGCGCTGCCGTGCTGGACCTCGGATGAGCTTCCTCCCTAAAGCCATTAAAGTTGTTAAAGCTTTTTGGTAAGGGCGAGATTTCCGTTTGGACCAGCGGTAACGGGAGCAGCAGCTACAGCTAATCATATATTCTCATGTGTACACCGTTCTAATCCAACACACTGGATCCTTATTGCGCTCAATGCGCATTTACCATCACAATGCCAAGGCATTATTTCCTGACACACGTGTGTAACAAACAAACAAGCGTAGTAAAAGTAATATTAATAATAAAACATCAACAAAATGCAAGAACAGAAAGTACGCGTTATTATTATCCGAAAAAAGCGATCACGTGCAGACCAGACAGGAAGAATGATACCGACCGTGCACCGAAGTCTACGCGACAAAGTTCCGCATGTCAATTCCTTCATACAAATACAAGCACCACTGATTAGTGACCAGCCATTATAACTCACTTGAGACGACCAGCTGCACAGTGCAGCAATATTTCGCGTGCAGATAGTCTTCGTTCACCGAACTTTAGACAAACATAAACAACTTCGTGCACACTTGTACTTTTTACCCCTATCCCGTGCGACTCAGACCTCAATTATAATAGGGCAACAGGATGCCGACCGAGAGCCCTGGTCCTAATCGGTGCTGTGGAAAGCCAGTCCCCATGCTCAGTGCTACCCGCGCAGATCTCGTATGACCTCTGCCTAGCACGACGTTTGTGAGATGCATCCCCGATACATTTCCACGTCTCTAGAGGTGTTTAATTGGCGTCTGCACGGCGAGCGTCTGCTATCCGGGACGACTTGGCGCGCCGTTGCTGGTCAGGGAGCTCGGAGCGGAGATCGACTGACGCGGTCGCATAAGAGGATCGTTCCAGGCGGATTTTGGCCCTGTCTCCGAAAATATCTTCGAGAGACACTTTCAACACTACCTGACTCTGACTATCGGAGCCGGGACGCTGAGCTGTGTACTCTATTCGCAGAATACCTTTTACACTCACAAATTCTCGAATTGTGGTATCGGTATTTTTTCGCACCACGATGTCGAGTATGGATATCCCAACGTCAACGATGCTTGACAGCTTGCAGGAAAGCTCACCCATTCCGCAGAGTGCTTTGAACACAAACTGTAAACATTGGAAATAATGACAAACAATGACATAAGGAATGAAATTATAGGTACTGCACAGTGTAGGTATATTGACTGGTAAAAAGTTTAAGGAATGTTTTAAGTTGGTATCAAAATTGGAACTTATCCGTTTGGTAAACTATGAATATGCTTAATTAAAAAAACGTGTGTGTGTGTGTATTTTGTGAAACCCACCTGGGACGGTTGATGGCTAATGTTTGTAGGAGCCGAAAATCTACAGTCTTGTACGGAATTTAACAATGGGTTCAATACAGACTCGCCTATTTAGCCTTTTCTAATATTGTTCTCTGCGAATAGCTCAGCTTTCCTCACAGCGCTACCCATTCACCGACCACAGCTAGCTACGTTTTCCGAATGCACGCTAAATGCCATACGGGAATAAATCAATTACTGAATAACAAAAAAAATAACAGATTTTAGCCGTTTAGGCTAAAAAACAAACCGTTTGTATCTATAGCATACTGCACGTACCCACAGACGGATTTACAGATGTGCCCGCGTGCTCTTTATGCATGTAAGGGAAATACGACAAAAAAAGAAGCCAAAGTAAGGACTCTACAAACGTATGGGACAGATGTCATTTATATTGCCTTAGACACGATACCAACAGTGTCAATGGCATGTAAAGATAAGCCACAAACATATCTTATGTATAACATTATATAAATACTATACTGTCTGTATATATATACGAAATAATCGATGATGTTTGCTATTACCAGCAGCACCATATTCGAACACGTTACATACAATTATTGGACGATAGCGATGGTACTTGAAGCTCTACGACGCAAAACAGAGCAAACAAAACCAAATCCGAAAATCACAAAACCCAAAAAATGCCTAGACACACTCAGCGCCTATTTCGGCTTTAATAACTCAGAGCAGCACAGCATTCGCCGCAACAACAATAACAACAACAGCAACAATGACCAGCAAAGATGACAACAAAACATAAAGTAGCTGACATTAACGAAAAAAATGATCGCAAATGTAGGAACATCGGTTTAGCACCTCAACAGCAGCTATAAAAACAAACCAGCCGATAAACAAGCGACTCTAGCAACGAAAAGGCAAAGCGATTTCCTATTCGTGATGATTAAAGGTACATTTACGACGGAACTATAAAAACAGTGGAAAAATACGAGCAGCGATAGCATTGCTTTGCACTGCACAAAGAACCACTGTCCGACCAAAAGCAACGACTGAACGAACCAGATGCAGCTCTAACACCAAGCCACGGGAAAGCTTAAGCACCAGCCGCCGCAGACAGCAGGCAAACAGACCCAGCCATCAACAAAAATAGGAAACAAGGTAAAGCCAAGATGGCGGCAGTAGCAGCAGCAGGCGTTACCGATCATCGATCATATGACGAACGGGCGACAGTTCGAAGATCGTTGAGCCTTCATCTGAGCTCTCGTATTGCCAACCATCATAAGCTCCGATTGTGTCAACCGCAACTGCCGACACTGCCTGTCGCTTGCATGATAACCGTGACAGATCATGTCAAGGCCCTTCAAGATAGTTCGTGATGTGCACACGATGCGGAAGGGGGCAAGACAGGCTTGGCAGCCAATGGTTCCGGCACAACAACAGAACAACCAAGGAAAGCATCCGCCACAACACATCCAGTTTCTCTTCTGGCCCCTTACACCTACTCTAACTAATTAACTACAACAAACTAGTACACGAACAAGGATTGTACGTTGTACTCATAACATCTTAATTACAGCTCTATAACAATCACTGATTACCGCTAACTATTGCTACCACCGTACACACCAGCAATACCCGCCGCTACATATATTCACACATGAAAGCATGCTGCCCTTTTACGTGCTATTGATCTAGCACTAAAATCACCCGCCCTCCGAAGTAGAGTTTGTTTTTCCCCATCTTTCAACATGTCTCCGATTACTAGCCAAAAGCAGATTTGCAGAGTACCAAATTTCCAGATTACCAGCATTAAACGGACCGTTTCACTTACGAAACGACGCGAAAGGAGCAAAAAACAGGTTAACAACGTTCGAACTACACCTTCAAATGAAATACAGACCGATGTAATAACGGCAATGACGGTGTGATTCAAGATCAATAGAGCTTGATCAACGAGTAAACCAAGAACGAAATAAAGAAACCCAACAAAATCAGATCCTCACAGAATGCCAACGATAACAACAACAAACGCAGCAGCTTACGTGCAACGAACGGAAAACGAAGACGCCATAAGGCATTAAGTATACACACTCCCAAATGTACTACAGGAATAACATGCTCAGGCAATCTCGCATAACAACTAACGTTTAAGTCAAGGGGCCAAATCACTTCCCAACCTCTTCTATCACTTTATACCACTGCTACAACCCTATTCCTATCCACAACTATTCCAATTGTCTTCAATCTGCCAACACTTTATCGAAGTACTCCACGCTACAAATAATAGCTGCTAGAAGCTTGTCTCTATAATCGAAGTTTGTTCGTATTTTTCTTCCTTTCCTTTATCAACCCCCATAGAAAGAGAAAACTGCGATAATATGGTTTGTAGCATAGCATGGCATAGCAGAACAGGCGCTATCTGGCCTCGTTGAAGATCATCATCGTTTATGCTACGACGAGCGCAGGTTCTGATCTTCCGATAAGTAACTCCGAATTCGTCTTAGACCTAAGCGTATTTTCTGCGTGCCGCAGCTACACAGATAAACATTGATTTTACTTCAATTTCTCAACGTTCTCCTTTCTGCTAAACTATTCCGCCTTGGCGTTCATACCTTACTTTCTAGCGCTCGATTTTATTTAGTGGCACCGCAAGATGTCTCCCAATATAGCAATGCACCGCATGAAGGATAGCAAAAGTATGAGACGGCGAAAGAAATGGGCGAAATGCATTGAGATGTAGAGGCGTTCCATACTCATTTCGCCGTTCTCAGATGGGGGAAAATTGATCCTTTGGACCGATCAAAACCAATTAACCGACGCCAGACTCAATGCCATATTGCTCTTTTTCAACGATTTCATCCCAATTTTCTGGCCAACCAGCGTTGACCGGGGAGGACGGTATATTTTCTCGTCTCGAATGAAGCAGAAATGCGAAACTAAATAAGTTAACGAAAAAGCTATTGTCAGATAGATGTCAAGGGACGTTGGCGGGTGTTCGTGATGACCAGCGTTTCGCTGCACCGAGGTGCTAGTCCTCTTAGCTGTTTTGAAGTCCTCCCCTGGTCGTGTGAAAAGGGCGTACGCCTAGTCACATGCACCCATCAGCGATTCAGCTTGCAGCCGGCAATGCAAAATATTCGAGCTTGCAGTAAACACCGCGCACACCCTTCGCAGACACGACAGATTGACAACACATTGTCGATTGTCCACAAGGAAACACCAATGCGAAGCAAGCCAAGACAATAAGTACGAGATCGACGAAATCATCCAATGATGACCAACTTGATGCTAAACGGACCCACAGCACACCGCACCATGAATGAAGTCGAAGCTTCAAATGGAAGAAATCATCAACAAAAACTGACAAGCCAGCTGATCAGCTGCTAGACGTTTGCCGCCGAGATTCTTCTACTAAACCTCTGATAATGATATCGGGCATACGATTAACTTGGCTGATTGTTACGATAGATATATCGACTACTACATTGTATCCATTCGGAACTAATTGGCAGATACCTATGAAATGGCCTTTTTGGATAGACAAAATGATCACTGTCGAATGTCAGTCAGACTGAAGTTATCGCCGGAAACGCATAACGGCATCGATACCAACTTGTAACACATCTAATATCTAATGGAAGGGTCAGTTTAATTAATGATGCAAAATGAGTATCTGTAACCCTTAACAGATTTCTTTGTACATTCGTACTTCACCATTGCTATCAGGCATTTAATACTACCGAATAAATGGACATAAAAACCAGGAACGCTCATGCGCGCATGAGCACACTCATACCGGTCGATGACTAGATGCCGTTACGTAATTGTCCATCTTGCTTAAAATCGTCGTGCAAGGTCAGGCCGAAAGAAACCTTTTTTTCTATGAGCTTTCGCACATGATGTGTGTTGTCGCCTATGTGTTGGTACGCAGCAGAAATGCGATCCTGGTTATTAAAAAAAAAAACAAAAAAAAAAAAAAAAAACATGTGCAAGAACTAACAGGAAAGGATCAAAATCGACAGGAATGGAAAATGCGATACATATATCACATGAACGATACAATTACGATCGGAGTATTCCTCACATCTACTGCTGATATAACTAAACAGAGGGAAGCAGTGAGATGGGACGACCAATCGTGAACTATGCCGAAGTTTTTTAACTACCCTTTACGGCCGTAAAGCCTGCCGTAGAACGGCAAAAGATGGCTAAATGTGAACTAACTTTAATGAATATAAATAAACTAATTGCAACTCATCGGCGATGCTGCACGTCCGCGACCTAACGGCGTGCATGGACCATTTCGTATCTCGGTACGTGGCCCCCTAGCACACCAAAGACTCGGCAACACCATGCGGTACTATTTAATAGTCGATGAAAAAACGCGAGGAGTTCGCTTTCGTTATTATGGAGGGCTACGGCCGAGATCACCAGAACAACTTTGTTTCGCGCACTTTTGCAGCCGCTTAATATCCCTACCCCATAGGCAATTGACATGCATTATTATTACGACTCAGCTGCTAGGCAACCTGCACTGATGCGGTAAAGGCATAACACAATGATAAACAAAAAATTATGACAAATGGCTTTATGAAGAGTACATACATAAAAACAACAGGCGTCCTTCATCAGTATGTATAAACAACTAATGCATTTAACATATACGGTTCTACGCGTAAATATCACTCACAGCGCGCCTACGGACATCGACGCTTGCTAGTCATCATAGCTGGGCTTTAACTGTGTGAAAATAAGGAAAATCGTTGATCACATACCACATAAAATGAAGGTGCCACAGATGCTATACGATACAATGTACGCCAGTCATTACCACCCTAACAACTAACAGCCAGCAGCCATATCGCAAATTGACAAATATCATCACACGATAAACAACCTGTCAGCTAAATAAGCCAAGCAACCGAATCCTCAACTAGGGCTCATGTTTAGGCGACCCACTAATTTGAAAGGTGTCAGAGATGACAGGCGTCTTCCGTTCAAGAGTCATAGAATACTTCAGTGCGTAACGACGAGCCTGCCAAATCTCTGTTCGGATCAAGGTGGTACCTTGTTCATGACGCCAGAGACGATTGTTCGGTTGACTTCTCGGTGCGATCTTCTCAAATCAGCCATCCGACGAAGTTTATCTTCAGCCATATGCCAGCAGCTTCTATCTATCTACTTCTACACAAAAATACTCAACTAACCACACTAACTATTGAACGCTACGTACAACTATTAACCAACGCAAAAACAGCGACTATGACAGGTTCTTACCTGTCCATTACCGATCAAAAAACCAAAAAGACAAGCATTCAACCATATGCCAACCGTTAAGACTATATTCGTTGTTACTAAAGCGTATCTTCCAGCCACAAGAAATAATACGTCACTGTACATACGGACATCAACTCAAGAAAACGTTCAACTAACTACGTCGAACTTAAGAACCAGCAGCAGCAGCAACAACAACAACATGCTTTACAGAATGAAGAAAGTTCGTAAATAAGTGCTATAATAATAATAACAGTAATAATAAAAACACACGATACGACGCATCGCTGGCACAGTCAGCGAAACTGAGCCAGACAAAATGACGAAACGTTATTCACAAAGGACAGCATCTCTCATCATCACAAAGGACTACGCAAACAATCAGCAACAATATACCGCCACGGAATATTATAATAGTTAGTAATCATTATCCATACGTACACTGTACAAACGAGTGCCATCCAGGACAGACGACTCGCGTCGTAGATCTGCCGAGACAAGGCGAGAACGTCTACCCAAACAGATATTCACTGAATAGTTTTTGTTATAACTGTATTGCTTTGTCCTACGAAATCGCAACACAGACTCGACAATACTTGCTAACCTAGTTGGAAGACAAAGGTGATGGCAGATCTTCGCTTCTTCAGCGGGAAGGTTTGAGTAACAGTGGGCAAAGTACAGGAACGACAGACGAAGCAAATGACCTCAGGAAGATTGCACAGAGAGCACGATCATACGAGAACTCTTTCTAGCTCCTAATAATTTCAACACTGGGCTTTAAGTTCCAGTATTTGTGGGCAGAATTTTTTCTCGTTCAGATAGAGCTTTGGAAGAGAAGCCGAAGACACTAAGCAAACGAGCGCGACAGCGCCACACGATCCGAGGTCCGACTTATTCTTGATTAGGATACACAACTCGTATAAGGAAAAACCGAAACCTAATACTTTATTGGCGCCAGTTCCCTATCAATATATAATACAACTGTCGACTCTTATCTAGAATGTGCCACCTAAATCGATAAACAAACGACATACACACACAAACAAGATCTCTAGAGACAACGTATATCTAACCTCTAAAAATTCTGTCGAGGAGTAAACATGCCTTGTACAGCAACGCAGGCCGATCGCAGCTCCTCTTGGCTGTAAACAGCTAACTAAGACGCTGAAGCACAAAAGACAAACAGCCATGCCGTGAAACTCAAGTAAAAAAAACCGTTATTTACAAGCCATCTATTAATCTCAGCATCACCTCATCCTATAGCAATACCACACACAGGAGCGGTATACAAGCAACAATCAAAATCAATTCATCGATCGTAATAAGGGTGACGATGACGATTTCAAAGTTAATCAATGTATTGTAAAATCAAGACAGAAACTCGAAAAGATGGGCAATGTATTTTCGCTAGAATCGGAAGAATAACTCGTCAGGCTATAGCAGCGGAAACCTATCAACACTTCACCGATACTATATCTATTAATACTGCTTCTTCTATGTACATATATTATCATTATAAGATAATAATGATACGTTCACGAATCACCATGAATGAATAAGTGAACGAGGAGAATCTATTGAGATGATCGATCGCACCCACGGACTGAAACGGAGGGAAATGCAGAAAAACGTTATTCGATAAGCCAACGAAATTAAACAATGTTTAACTACCCCGTTCCAATTGTCACTATTCGTGAAAACCAGGAACAGACGTCGTCCCGTGAGGCTTTGTACAACAACGTCACAACGATTGCTGTGCGTATGACGAAAAAGAATTTTTCGCACTTTAGCAAATATTAACCGCAATATCAGATAATAACAATCTGAATTCAATAACGAGTCTTACTGTCCCTGTTCAGAGATACGACACAACAACAGCCTAGGAAGAGCAGACGAACTCACAGCACAGCATTATGAAAACCGAAAGAAAAACGATAAGGCCATCACAAAAACACTAGCGCCATCATGTGATTACGCGTTCGTAAAAGAATGGTAAAACCAGTAACGAGTGAACCTCTTGTCCCGTTAACTGTCTCTGTCTCCTCGATGAAGACCTCAGGGAGCATGGGCCGTCACGTCGCCACTGGTAATTATCAATACTCTTCGAGGAATGAGGGCGTCTAAAGCTCCTGACGCGCAAGAACTTCCTTGGCCCCCAATGGTAGGACGCTGGCGTTCGGTGCCTCTAAAGCTATCACGTAGAACAATTCACTCAGCCCAACGTTGTGGATAACTCTGCGACAGAACTGACATAGAACTAGTATAAATCGATACAACAAACGACTGATGCATATATGGCCTTACAGATGTAAGTGCTTCACTTTTAAGCAAGCAATTACGTCTATCATATCAGAGTGAACTAGATGGCTACCTGCTATTTAGCAAGTGGACAATATGGTTCCGAACGATTACATTGAAGATCATCCCGCGTTCGAGGCACTCTGCAACGCATATATGCCACTAATTACTGAATCGACAACATAAAGCTACTATGGAGAATTATAGAAAATTATCATAACAGGCAATGAATAGGAATTGTGACTGCCGCCCTGGCTAGACTACTTGAATCTGCCTGGAAGAGAACTAAACGATTCCGCCAGCCGTTTAAACAGCAAGGTACTACATAAACTAGTCACTTGGTTCGACCTTGTTGCCATCGAGCCCCTCGTGAACAGCGATTCCAACAGCTACACTATAGGGAATAACACCGAAAAACAACAAAACATCTAGGATACGAGTTGAGAAGTAGAATACAAATCAAGTGCACAATATAGGTGACATATTAAGCAAATGTTCGCGCTAGACAACGGCAGCTGTTGAGAACTTTGAACGTGACAAACGAGACCTGGTCGTATAATGGTCCTCTCTCTCAACGTTTCTAACCGCTGATGTGTCAAATGTGATCTTCGAGTGAACTGCGTTAGGCAGTGTGAGAGATAGAAGAATCCACGCACTATTGACGGCATACACATAAACACACATTAAGTATATCGTTCCTTGAGCTTGAGAGTGAACCCTACAGCGGAGGTGGCCGTTATGTGCATATATACATAATAAACTATACAAAATATAAGTAATAATACACAGACACACATATATGTGTAATCATATACAGACAGATAAATAGATAAATGAGTGCCTATCTCACCGTTGCCGCGAATATGTTGTATGCGATTAAAAAACAGTGTAACAAGTAGAAATGGGAAAACATACGGGAGGGAACACCTGTTGTAATGGCCTCGTTGTCAGGAGGCGTGATCGAAACTTGGCAGAGGTCTTGCCCTGAAGTCCGGGCAGCCTACTCTTACATGAGTCTCTCTCACTAGTCTATGCAACCCCTCTACGACCTATAAGCTAACAATCGCATGCGTACTATAGTATGCAACGAGTGTGGATATGCTGGACACATAAAACTGATGTACATAGGTTGTTCAGAGCGTTCGAGTAACGGAACAGGCAGCAGAGCAAAGACAACGGATGCATGAAGGCCGCGAGCCAGCCTTCTCGAGCGAGTTCGAGGTCCGTCCTTTGCACTGTCTGCAAAGATGGTACGATAAGCGACCTGACAATAGTGCGTGCCATTCAGACTTGTTGCACGGTAGCAGAGCTAAAGACGTCCACAGGAACTGCAGCGTTGTCAGATGGACGCGAAGTTAAGCATCAGCGTAGAGGCTGGTTCATGGGGCTAAG